CCCTTTCGGTTTACGTCTGGGATTTCTCGATACACTATGTTTAATTTTTATGTTTGTTTAATTTTCATCCCTCCTCCCTTTATAAATATGAAAAAAAATAATGTTAAATGAGGTTTTAATTTCAAGTCGCTTAATAATAATGATTTACATTCATACCTAGTTACGACTAACTTATTTACGTAAGGTATATTGGGTTTACTAATTTTTTCTACCATTTCTACTACTCTGATTGGTTCTGCTAATTATTCATATATTGGAGTATCCACCTTATTAATCGATTTTATGATACTCCCAATAGGAAGTGGTAGAAAATTAGTAAACCTAGGTACAATCAGTGTACGATAAGTGCCATAAATATTTTGCTAAAAATATATTGGTTGCTAAAGCTGCTGACACCAAATACACAGTATTTTTCTTATATTCAATTGCCAAGATATAACTATTACTTGCTTTCTCACTATAAAAATTACCATACTTTCTAGAGAATTTGGTTCACTAATAATTATGATCTAAAATTAAACACAGCAAAAAGTTCATAAATAGGGATGGTGATTGATTTTAAAACCACAATTGATGATCAATTTTCTGAGCTAATTAAATAATAATCAACAAGTTTATTGATGATTTTCAAAAAAATTCAGATTACCGAACCTTTTTAGAATTTACTAGAATCGGTTGACTTATTTTGAACATATCCGCAGATTTAAGAAATTTGGGTATTTTCTTAGAGTATATGGTCTATCACTATTGTTTTGTTCATTTTTATTGGTCCATATTGCAGATCATAATCTGTTTATAGTTACCAAATTGTCAATCACGTCTAACCCATTGACTCACCCTTTTTTATTATAAAAAAGGGTGAGTCAATGGGTTAGATGTGATTGACAATTTGATAACTATAAACAGATTATGATCTGCAATATAGACCAATAAGAATGAACAAAACAATGGTGATAGACCACATACTCTAGGAAAATACCCAAATTTCTCAAATCCGTGGATATAACATAAAAATATTATCATTATGTACATACTTTACTATATGCAGTAGTACATTAGATCATACTATGAAGTTTTTTTTAGCTTTTTAGTTAGTCTCTTATCAGATTTACAATATATTTTGTGCTTCTTTTAGTTTTTACTTGATTTTTTATGAGAAATATGAATTGATTTAAATAAGAACATTTTATTATCAATAATGACTCTATGTGTTGATGATAGTTATGCTAGGGTTATTTTTGTAAGGATCATATATTTAATCTGTGTAACTTAAAAAATGTTATTTAAAGATTAGATAGATTGTTGTAATTGGCAGTATATTTTTTCTTTGCTGCCTGACTTAGATCTGGCTCTTTTATATATAGTGCCACCTTCTTCATGTTTTTGCTTTAATACAAATCAGTAAAAGGCTTCATTCAGTTATTAAAAAAAAATCTTTTTTCATGTGCATGTATAAAATCATCAACAGCACAAAAATTATTATAGAAATAATTGTGAAGTGAACCAGAGCACCATTTAAAGAGTTAAGAACTAAATCCAAAAGCAGTGTTGTCACAGAACAGTTGTGAACAGTAAGTTTAGACATTTTGAATAATTTTGAATAATTAAATAAATTAAAATTACTCAAAATTTTATTAAGATAACCTATATTAATTTTTAAGTAAAATATGTTTAGCACATAAAAAAATATATAATTATATATTTTTTAAAAAAATTTATTAATTATTAAAGCTTAGACATGCTCTGAACACTTGTAGACACTTGGACACTTGGACATTGGACAGTATCAAAAAAGCTTTTGGATAGTTAAAATATATAACACTGTCTAAAAGGATTTGAAACTCTTATATAATATTTTGAATCATGAGTAGGAAAAGCATTAGCTGACATATTTTGAAAGAACACTATCTTAGTATCTTTGAATATGAGTGATAATGATCTTGGATCAGAAGGAAGAAAAGCATTAACTGATATACATTGAAGAAACATTTTGTTTAAATAATTTGAATCTATAATGAAAGAACTGAGATCATTTACAAGAACACCACATTGATTAGAACATATTGATTATAGATCAGAAGGAGGAAGAGTATAAGTTAACACATTTTGCAAAAACATTGTCTTAATCACTTTGACATTGTGATAATGATCTTGGAGGAAACATTAGTTGATACATCTTGCAAGAGCATTTTGCTAAAGGATTTAAATCTAAAAAATAATAAATTTGGATCATTTGCAAGAACACCGTATTGATTTCTCTGAATTTTTGTTGTAAAGATCTTAGATCAGAAAGAGAAAAAGCATTTAGCAGATGAATTTTGCAAGACTCCATATTGATTTCTCCAGACCTACCTTAGTGAATAATATTAGATCAGAAAGAAGAATAGTATTAATTAATGTGCTTTACAAGAATGCTTTGCTAAATGATTAAATCCACAATATAATAAACTTGTGTCTAAAGGAGGAAAGTATTAGAAGACGTGCTTTGATAACACCACACTGACTTCATTTGAACTCTTATCAAAGTGAACTTGGGCCAGAAATAGCAGCATTAACTATTGTATCTTGCAAAAACAGCTCGCTAAAATATGCTACTTTTTTATGATGCTCTTTCTTCTCCTATATGTATCTTCATAAATAAAGTTAATCTGAGTGAGAATAATAACCCTATGTGTTGATAATAGTCATGCTAGAGTTATTATGAGGATCACTCTATTTGATCTGTATAACTTGAAAAATGTTATTTAAAGATTAGATAGATTGTTGTGATCAGCAGTGCATTTTTTCTTTGCTGCCCAACTTAGATCTGGCTCTTTCGTATATGGTCCTCCTAGCTCACCCTGAGGAATTGTTAAAAATTAGAGAATTGTTGAAAATTAGAGTAGCAAGAGACTTACACAGAGAGGACATGCTTGAAGAGTAAGAACTAGTGGTCGTATAGGTAATATATTCGAAACTTGCTGATATGAACTATGTAAATAGAACATATAATTGTTATATATATGTATAGCAAGTAGAATGCGGCATATCATAGTGTAGGTCTGTACTTGCTACTTTAAAGACAAATAGAATACAAAAGTTATATATATATATAGCAAGTAGAATACACTACACCATAGTGTAGACCCATACTTGCCACCATAAAAGAAAGTAAAATGCAAAGTTATGTATATATGCAGCAGGTAGAAAGCACTACACTATTGCGTGAATCCATACTTGTTGTATAGATATTTAAAAAGAAGATCAGAGAGAGAGGAAAAGCATTAGTAGACAATCTACAAGAATGCTATACCATCTGCTTTGAAAATACCTAGTAATAATAAAAAAAAAATGAAAAAAAAGTGGAACATGAATAAATGAATGAAATTCCCAAGGACTTGCTGTGGTTTTCTCCATAACTCTAATTGGTATAGCAAGTAAAATTTGCCGTACTATAGTATGGACTCATACCTGTTACTTTAAAGAAAAGAAAGCATCTTATTTGTATCTATTATCAAGAATCTGCTGAAATGAGAATCTAGTAGAATATATAACCTTGCAGACTGTTATTTTTACAAAATAAAAGTTAAAAAGATAAATGTAAAGCATTTATTCATAATTAAAGTCTATCAAAATAGGAAATACAAAAGCAAAAAAAAAAAGAGAGAAAAAAATCGAATATTTGAAACAGTGAGAAGTGAATGTTGACTAAAATATTACTTTGAGCCAAAAAAGGCTAACACAATTAAGAGTGTGAAGATTCACCAAACAAAAGAATACTCTGAGCATATTTAGATGTTTTAAAGGAGGGTAGTTTTATTAGAAACTCAAGAGCATCGTTTATTTTGAAACTCATGCTTTTGCTTCAGAGATTCTATTAGAAGAATTAGCTAAACATTTTCATTTAAAACAAAAGCTAATTGGCTTTACTTATATTTTACATATATTTATCAAGGAAGCTTCCAAAATAATCAGTTACAAAATTTACAAAAATAGTATAATGATTTTTGGAAAAGCATCCAAATAAAATCTTGATTCTGAAGATTTTACATCACCTCAAGAAAATGCGTTAGTCTCTCTTATGAAATGAGAGGATTTACAAATAGAAGAAGCAGAAATTTAAAATTATATTATTGAATAAGAAACTACACAGAATTCAGGCTTATTATCAATTAGACCAAAAAACTGGACTGATCCAAAGAATTGTGAATCCAAATCGACAAGTACCATCAACAGTTCTTCTACCTAAGTAATTTTAAAACAAGAATTGTCTACACATATAATAGCATTGTGAATCTAGAAGAGCTTTCGGTATTTACGAGTTGGTCTAGCTTATGTACTAGTTGCTGAACTAAGCAAATACTACTGTAATAATAAAGAGGAAAGAAGAAAAGTAAAGTGCAAGAGCTATAGCACCTTATGATTCTGGTGTATGGGTGGAAGTAGAATATATGTGGGCTTGTACATGCTACTTAAAGAAAGAAACACCTTTTTATCATTACTTATAGTGTAGCAAGTAGAATGCACTGCACCATAGTGTGGGCTTGTGCTTGCTGTGTTAAAGAAAAAAGAAAAAGTATTTCACTAGTTATCATGGATAGGTGTAGCTTGTTGCAAAAATGTATTTATATATGCAGTCGACTCTGGATATAACAAACCTCCATATAATGAATTCCAGATATAATGAACTCAAAACTTTAAAATTCCATAGTAGTTCGATATAAAAAGTGCCATAGGTTCTTAAGAAAACATAGTAATTTTCTATAACAAACTTTTTTTATTTCAGTTCTTTCCTAAACCATTAGTTCATTCTAGAAAGAGTTGACTATATATCTTGTTTGTTGCTAGGCATATGCATAGCAAGTAAAATATGCTGCACCATAGCATAGGCTTATACTTGCTGCAAAAAAGGGAGAATTATGAATCCGGTAAATAAAGACAAAGGAATGGATGAGAATAAGTGTGTACTGGTGGGTCAAACTAAATAAGAAAGTAAGACAAGAAGAAAAGAAGAAGCAGAAATGGCAGAAGGTGGAGCTAAGAAAGCAGAAGAAGCTGAAGAAGCCAACAAAGGAGAAGAAGCCAAAGAAGCCAGAGAAGCTTTAGAAGCCGACAAAGCAGACAAACCCGATAAAGGAAAGAAGTAGAAAAAGCTTATGAAGTAGAAGAAGCAGAAAAAGTCAACAAAGTGGAAGAATTAGAAGAAGTCAACGAAGCAGAAAAAAGCAGTAGATATAAAAAAAACAGAAAAAGTAGAAGGAGCAGTGGGAGCAGAATATGTAGGAAAGATGTGTGAGATCTTTTGAATATACTATCATAGTGCCCCATATATATGCTCGAGTTTTGATCCTCTTTTGTCTTCATCACGTGACCAGCGCATGATATCTTATTAGCCTTTATGTTTAAAAATGTATGTATTTGCACCAAGAGCCGCAGCATGGCACCACTCCCATATGTATCTTCATAAATAAAGTTGATCCGAGCGAGAATAATTAGTACTTTGCTGCTCATCATATCTAATTATATCTAATTATTAGTTTAGAAAGGCTCAATTTTTAATAGTTATTGTACTTTTAATTAGGTAGCTGTGCAACATGTGACACTACGCAAAACCAGTACAATTATACATGCATGGCTCCATTACCACTATCGACCCATTTTCTATTTCTTTTTTTTTTTTTTATCTTATTATTATCTTATTATTATTATAATCCAAAAATTAGAAGTGGAAATCCTTGCCATAGTAAGAAAAATTGAACATATTTAACATATTTAATATATTTTATATATTGAATATATTGTATACAAGTATTAGTAGGGTGCCGCTGGCACCCTTTCATGAACTACTCGCTATGAAAACAATAAATTACTCAATATTGAAATCAGAAACTTGCTCACTATTGAAATAACGGATTCACTTAGTTAAATTGCCAACTATCGAGATTAATAACTTGCCTACTGTCAAAATTATAGCCCACCACATTATTAAATTACTAAC